CTGGCAACACTATTTCGTATCGCCAGAAGGAAGGAACAGTTGGCAACGTGCCAGGAAAGTGGGGCAACGTGCCCTGACAGGAAGTGAAGGATGGTGAAGTGCTGGTGTGCTGCTACATTTATGAGGAACATTGTAACGCGAGAGCTGAAAGTGCGGGTGGAGGCAGGAGATCTGAGGGGCGGAATGTGCAAGAGTGAGGCTTGGTTCGCAGTGTGCGTGCTTCTGGCTGACGACCAGAACAAGATCTACAGTAATTTTCTGCAAGATCCAGTAAAAAGGCAAGGTTACCCAGGCCGCAGTGACTGTACGGCCTGGCTGGTGGGGAGGCGGGATAGTAGAGAGGCAGCCGTTGTTGTGGGGGTGCGTGGAGGGGTGGGCGGCGGTTAGTGGATGTACATCCCCCCTCCTCCTCCTCTCTTCCTAAGCATCAAATTTTCCCATTTCCCCTCCCCCCTCCTGGTAGCGAGGACTGAGTGCGCCACTCAGTCCCCTAAGCCGCACTCCCCTGTTACTGAGAGCTGAGGGCAGTGGGCGACTAAATTCGCCCCTGCCACTCAGTCCCCCGAAGCCGCACACCCCCCTCCTTTGGTAATGAGGACTGAGAGGAAGAGGAAGCCATTAGTAGTTTTGCCGCGGATGGGGAGTGGGGAGGGGAAGCGGGTTGCTGCTAACAATGTTGCTACCATACGGATCAACTTCTAAAGAAATGTGAAAACAATTTCGACTTAAGGCGAAACAACGACAAAACAAAATATCGCGGAGAAAAACAACAGACACAAACCAGAAGGAACGGATCCACAAATGATGAATACCGATGAATACCTGGACATTTTCTTGGTCAGAGGATTGCACTGATGAGAGGGAGGGTTAGATTGATCTCGACCCCAGGATGAGGGGTAATGGAATCAGATCGAAAGACGAAACAAAGAGTCGGAGCAGAAAGAGGTACTGAGGCAGCTAGATGAACAAAAAACGAAGAGGTCACGGGTCATCGTAGCATATCAAAAACAAACTTCTGGCAAGCTAACAACAACAACAGGAGCAGCAGCAGCCCAATTACATGGCAAAATTCGCTGATTCCACTGATCTCATCTTCCAACCAAAAACAGTGAGCTTATTTTCATGGATCAACAATCGTCGTTTGTTCATGTGTAAAGTTCATAATCGTATGTGGGGTAAAATTAAAAAATCATTGACGACGCGCAT